GTTGTTGCTTCACTCGTTGCCGCAACAGACCTCCAACTGTTCTGGCAGGTCTCTTCTAAATGATGAATTGCTTCATTAAGTGCTAGACCAGTGTCACTTTTCATGCTGTTAATATATTATGTAGGAAGTCTTCCCTGATTTCTTTTTGCCTCTACTTTCCCTGCAGCACAGTTGTCATCCAGTCTGTCTTTTTATTTCTATTCTATTTGTGTGAACAAGGTACTTGAGGCTCCTTTTTGCTGATCACTGAGAGCAATACGGAACTTCAAGTTCTTTCAGGACAGTTTCATTCATTCTTTAGTCTGCCAAATTAAACCCAAAGCAGTCTTCTTAAAATCCACATTTCTGCTGCTTGCTTGGATTCCGTTTTCATCATCCTTTCTCAAATGTCTAGACCTCACTCCCATACTCCCATTTAATTCAAACATTTCAGAATTCTATTTTTGAGTTCTCTACTCTCCCGTCTTTCCAGATGTTAATTAGTTGAACCATTATCGGTTTTGAGTCATTTTGACATGCCTTTTATTCTGCATTTGACTCCTTTAGGGCATATTGTTCCATCAGATGCTTTAATTTTAATTGATTCTTGAGTATTTGAAATCATTTACGTTTTCTAGACCTGTTCCATTTATTGATTTATTCTTATCTCTTTTGATGATCTTGACCTCCTGACCCAGTAATGTGCATTACTTCAGTTTTTTTCTGTATTTGTTTTAAACCTGCATTGTTCACTGTTGCCAGCAGCGTCAACTCATAAAATCCTTTTATGTTGTTTGCTGGAAGTAGAGGAAGGGTTGTGTCGTCAGCATATTCTTGATTCTTTGTTTCTGCCTCCAGTATTTGGCCCTCTGTATGGACCCTTTGAGTCTGAGCTCTCAAGGCTAGACTTTGGGCCTGGGTTGCTGCACAGATGAGTAAAGTAGAGTGCTCTTGGGTCCACAGATTTAAACATTGCATCATGTATTGTTTTTTTTTATATTTTGTTCATGAAAGGGTCTTAGGGGTTGGCTTTTTAAGGGGAGGAGCGACCTTTGATTTTGCCGATTTTGGGTCAGGCTATGCACATTGAGATGTTTGCTGATATTTCAATTTGAAGATCAACCAGTTCTTTGTCTAAAAATAGCATGGAGATAATTGAGAAAGTCTTTATTCTCCTCGTAAATTGCCTTTGAAAACATGAGGATGGGTTAAATAGTGAATTTTCACAGTAATTGTCGTTTTTCGCAAAATGTGATTTTTTTTTCAGTTTTTTCCCTACTCCTTGACTTCCTTATTTTTCTTCCTTTTGACATGAAACTTTCAGGAAACAGAGATGGCAAGGCTGCCATCAATGTAACAGAGAGATATTTGAGGAAAAAAATAAAGACTTCTATTGGCAAGCGATTATGCAACCTAAATTTAGAAAAGGATTAAAAATCCTTTGGGAAATTTCTCATATTTTTTTTTCTTTTGCACTTATTGAAAAAAACTCGCTGTTACGCTGATAGGGTCTATTCAGGTATACTCTCACGTACCATATTTGGTCAAATTTGGTCGGTGAATAAGAAAGCCTTAGGGATTTGACATTCATTGTTTATTTTCAAGATGGTGGCCATTTCCATAGCAACCGCTGTAGCTATGCCAAAGTAAAATTACATATCAAGAGATTTTCCTATGTACTTAGATTTGATCTCTGGCAACAGACATAGAAAATGGTCCTCAAGGGTCGCTCCTCCCGTTAAGGTAGGGGATTAGGAAGGGGACCTGTGCTTACACTGTATTGCATTTCATCTTTTTCAAGTCCTTTCAGCTTTAAGTGAATAATAAATGCTTCTGTTGTTCACCGAGTCATGTGTTGTGAGTGCTTTCTTTTAGTTTTGCTTTGACAGTGCCTGAAGCCAGCTCTTCTATGACCATGCAACACACAAGACTAGAAATGTAGTCTGATCTATTGGTTATTAAGTACATGTACTATGATGTATTTTTTTGTATACAAGTTGAAAAGTCCACTGACATATGTTGTCTGCGTAAGACTGAAAATGAAAATATACTGCCACGCACAACTGAATTGTGCAGCGAAACGTACAAGCAGCTAGTTCGGAAGTGGTGATCCCATAGGTCCGCGCGACTCTGTCCGACTGTGTTAAAAAAATGGCGCTGAGCAGGCGAAAACAGCTCAGTGGTCTGTCCCCCCTTTTGTTTTATCTCCACGGCGTCGCGGAACACTCCGATAGCAGGGCGGGCCTGTCCACCCAACTAGAAGAAGTGCTGCACGCACGCAGGTCTTTTTGGATCCTCACGATCCTCACGTCTAGTCGTGTCAGTGTAATCACCATTAGGAAATAAAGAGGAGGGCACAACTTTTTTCACAGCGCACTTCAGTTGTGCGTGGCAGTATATTTTCAGCCTAAGGTCGAGTAGGAACATGAGCATGTTCAAGTTGGTTCGACTAGTACTCATTCTGACTGATGAGCAATGATCCACTTGCACATATTGTCTAACGTCCATTTTTACATTAATGTCAAATTGCCAGAAAATGTTGGCACTCTACAATTATCTAAAGATCTCTTTTTACAGCTTTCATGTGTAGATCAATGGTTGATTTGAACAGCTTTCTCAAAATATAGTGTCTCACGTTTGTTATATCATGAAATCAATCTTACATAGTGTCTATTTGGGTATTCAGAACTGCATTTTAAAAATAAGCCCTGTCATAGCTCCTCCTTACTGTTGCACGACCACTATGTGTACAATGTCAATGTGCCGTTTCTGATTGATAACGTTTCACAACCCAATTGGAACAAATCACAGTCAAAATTGTCCAAGTCAGCCACCCATTGTCAAGAACAAAAGTTGTCCTCTTAGACAGGTGGACGTCTGAGACAGTGTCATTATGAGGTATAAAAAAACAAGGGGCCACATAGGAAGTACTTGTCTGTACAGGTCAGGTGGTTGTCATGGACAGGTGGCCATTAGAGCAAGTTTGACTGTAGATCACTTTAGGATGGGAGGCAACCCGCCAGTTAAGTCAAAACCAAGTTGTAAGTGGAATACCTCACCATAGGAGGTAAACCCTGTATACACTCAATGATAAATCGATAATAGTAGGCCTTAGCTGCCACCCAGGCAAAATTCAAAATTAACTCTCCTGTCAAAACTGAAAATACTCTTGTCTGTACAATTAAAATAAATATAGAATACCTTCCAAATCGGAATGTGGATTCGTGAAGGCAAGGGGTCCTACAAAGGAGGAAAAATGGTCATACATAAAAATCGATTGCACAGTAGGTGGAAGGGCAAGCAGTCGATTACCCCTGAGAGCTAGCAGGGGAATGCACAGAAGAAGAAAGAATAACAGAAAAAAGCAGTATGGAAAAATATGGATACTCCTGGATACATTTGGTTTTGCCCTAGCCATGTTGGAATCAAAACAAAGTCAGATTTAAAATATATATTATCCACATTTTATTCAAAGCAGTATCCACACAAGGAACTACTCACTTTGCTCACAGTATCACATCAGTAATTTTAGTATCAATAACAGTAACATGCTTGAAATTAAATGTGCAAATAGAAAACAATATGTAATTGTTTTGTTTTTTATATATAGATATATTTAGTGCTGAATGCCAAACATATTTGCTTTTTTTAACCCAGTTGTGCGACAGATGAATAACTACCAGAAATGTCTCTAGATTTTCCTGTCTGTAGACTTCCCAACTAATGAAAAAGAAACGACCAAAGATAGCCATATTTTGAAAGTCAGATCGTCAGAGACCAACTTCTGTGGGTGAATATGATACACCATTGCACTTTAGTGCCATTGCTCTTAATAGCCTTAGTGTTAGTATTGTGGCCAGGCCTCCAGCTGTCTTCAGAGTAAACTAATTAACTCTATATGTACCACAAATGCAGGGTGCATAGTCAAAAAAAATATAAGTAAAAAAAGTACCGATGTATCACCGTAAGGAAGTGGTTTTTAGTTTTAGTAAGGTTTTACGGCAACAGCATAATGTCATATGAGCGCCAAGGGGTAGATGTCAACAGAGAAGTCCAAACGGGGAATCAGACTTACTCTGCACAAAGTCTGCTTTGACTATCAAGGCACCCCGGAAATAACAGTTCACAAGAGAGCAACAAACATGTATACAAAAGAGGTAGAGGATAAAATGACGAAAGTAAGGATGAGGAAAGAAAAAGTAGTTGCCCCTATGTTATTCCGGCACAGTATGAGCATGACATTGATAAGTCAGCCCATTTACAATTCTACTGTGCATAAGAACATGTTAATTTCCCCCCTTTGGGAATGGCCTAAGGACACTTCAGTCAGTGACACTGCCCTAGAGGGGCACAAGGAAGAGCAAAAAGTGAGGTATTATAGAAATAGTAAGTGCAACAGTGAACACAACAGAAGTGAATTGAGAGGAGAACGCAAGGCTTACAGTACAGACAGAAACAAGGGGAGGAAGAAGAAAGAAGTGGGATCTACCATTATCACCCTCCTACCAACTGTCCATTTAATGATTTTCTGTTCACCTTTATAAAACAATAGCAACAATGTGTCCTTGGATCAAAAAGGCATCTTAACTCTTTCAGTGCGTGTGACTGACCACTCCCAGGGGAAGATGATAGGTAAGAATTCGCGAGCAACTGATCCCATAGGTTAAACATTTTTTGTTGGAGCATGAGGGTTGACTTTCCGGTGATATCAATTTTAATTCACTATATATGCTATTTCTCTTTCATTTTACCTAAATCATATGTGTCACGATGAGGTAGAATGAGGCGCTCATCAGTTTTTGGGGATCTGGAGTTACTGATATCATCTTAAAGCTTGTTCACTATGATGTTTTTCAGTAAAATCTACATAGAAATATGTTTTTAAATGGACATAAAAGGTGTTGAGCCCCCCCCCAAAAAGTTAGAAAAAAGATAAGATGGTAAAACTGGAGGAAAAATGTCGATATCTTTGATTTATTTTGACAGGCGCCTGAATTCACCATGATGCCTCACATAGTACATTTTTTTATTTTGAGATATTTTTTACAGTGTGTGTGTGTGTGTAAGCATGTAGTGTTGCACACACATTACAGAAGACAATAATAGACAATACACTTTTCTTGCACTTATACGAACAGGACAATTTTACTCTGATATGTCAACATTTGTGAATAAATTGACACCTGAGATAAGTCTATATGGCACTTCAAGCAAACATTATTATGCAAGAAAATCACAAAGTACACACACAAAAAAAAGAAATTTTAATGAAAAGATTAATAAGAAAAAAACATTCCTGATTCAATCTGGTCTTGAGCAAGTGCAAAAAAAACCATGGGAATGAACCTGTGTCAAGGCTAATGCTATTTTGTGATGTGGAGCAGTCATCAGAGAGTCAATCTCCCATGAAAAGAACCCTCGCATTTTTGCTTCCTCTCATATTGCACCAAGTCTTTCACACTAAACACACATGATAAATATTGCTAACAGCAAACATACTGGCACAAGGTCAGTTCAGGTCCCTTACATCTTTTCGATTAATTTTCAGGGCAAGTCCAAACATCACAACTCCACGGGATCCTTTATTTACCTTTCAAAACACTGGAACATGACTTGTGGAATGGTTCTGGGTCAGGACGACTAATATTGCAAAGCACACACGTCCCAATGCCACACTATCCTTCTAACTTGTCAGGGTGATCAATTACACAATATGAAACTTGGAGCATCTGTATCACAGTCCGGTACATACTCAGAAGAAATGTTTAATCACACTGGTCACAAGGCGTGTCCACAGCGGCACATGTCGGTCTCGCCGGTGAAACGTCGCCTCTGTCACAGGGCTAGATGATGAGTACATATTCACATGCTCCTGTGTCGTGGGGAGCAAACAAAAAAAAGAAAATAAGAACAAGCAAAACAATTTTTTTAAACTACAGTGGTGGATCCAGCAAAGTCGTCGGGCCTGGCCTTCAATTTCGTGGAATCCAAGTGTTTGTTATAGTAAATATAAGGTTTTTGTGTAGATAATTATTGGCAGCGAGCAAGTAATATATAATGTATTCGACTTTCTCCATCAAAAGTAGTTTGGTTTCAAATGAGAGGCATTTTCATTTCTTTGATACCGAAAAAATGCTGAAAAATTCCAGGAAACTACACTGAACACTACCAAGCACACACTGTACAAAAGGGCAGATTTGTCCAAATGCACGCCTGTGTCATCTATCACTATCATATATAACGTATTGTTTGCTGAACAAGTTATGTAGCTGTGTAGAGCCTAGCATATGATAACGTTTGATTTCACAGTCCAGCACGCAATTCACACCATAAATCTATGTCAAGACGAGCTTATCATTGTAATATTGATCAGTATATTGAAAAATTAACTGTGACGCAATTGTATCTCTACCCAAGCTTCCACTCCCTGACCGCTTGTGCTCACTCCCCCCAACCCCTCAGACACACGCACACACAGTCACACATGTGCTGGCTGCCCTTTCGACCCCGACATGCAGCTCCGGAGGACATGCACAGCGTTCTACTCAGCTTCTGTGCGGGGGCATTCAGAATAAATAATCAGACCAATCTAAATCCTTTATACCTTTGGTAGTTAAACAGGTTCAGCCCTGTTTTCAGTTAAAAAATGATTATCTGTTCCTGCTGAGGCAACTTTAGAAAAGCTTTTAAATGCACCATGGTGGCCTGCGTACATAGTTATGATTCTTTTCTTGCAATAACATTTTAGACAAGCTAAAAAGCAAATTCATACTTCACAACAAAACAGCAGGACAATGATATTTCACCAGGAGCAAACAACGGAAACAGAAACACTGAAGGAAAAGTGGAAAAGCACCCATCAACTGCCCATACTTTTGAAAAAGCTTAAAACATCTCAGTAGAATCAAACTTAATTGTACCGCCAGGTTTTGCCAATCAATGTACCAAAAGAATCCCCTATATAAACATAGTATTTGCGCCTTTACACCGCCATCCGCGAACTATCTCAGTTGTACAGTTCTTATTCAACTACTGTACATTTACCCCGTTGTACTGCCAGCGAACTGGCCACCACAAGTACACAGTACACTAGGCTACACATGACGCAAGGGACACATACACTCTGTGGTGGCTTGACAATCTTTCACACACAGGTCTACATCTACAAGCTAGGCCTTCTCAGTCCAGGCCCTGTATCCCGGACGTTTGGCTCCGGCATTGAGGGCGGGGGTGGACGACCTTATCTTGATAAGCTTGCCTCGAGACCGGTCCTTATCTTATCGAGGATCGATGCAAAAAGCGGTGATAGGCAGATGTTCTAATACTAATATGTATACAGGTGGTGGAACATTTTTGCATTACGTTTTTGCGTGCCGATAGTGTAATAGTAATGTGTGTAGTGTGTAGCCGTCTAGTCTGTCTAATCTCCTAGCCTCTTCATTGTTTCATTCAGTCCTCTTGGGGGTACACGTTTTTTTCGTTTGAATGTATTTTCACTACACTCAATTCTGAGGATTAAATTTGTGCCTATATTATGTGTTTTAGTGTTCAGCCCAGATTCTAGTTTTCTTTCATCTGGAATGTTATTGTTACTAGAATCTACTGTTACTGTGAAAAAGTTTTCAGCTGACGTCTCAGTTTCAGCGCAATGAACCATGTGAGCAACATTTGAGCATGGGAAGAAAGTGTAGGGGATGGGGCAGTAGAAGTGGTTATGCCAGCCAAAAGGGAGATGCAAAATAATAATATAGATTTCCAAAAGATTCGGAAAAAAAAAAGCAGCGTGGATCAAAAGTGTTCCAAATAAATTAATCGTAGAAGATGTCACGGATTATAATATATATATATGGGAGTTTGCTCTCTGCACTTCAAACCTGATGTACCTTTGACACGGGCTGGAAGATTTATGGTGTCCACAGAGTCTCCAACAATATTTCCAGAAGTACCACCATCATGTTGTGGCACACCAGCTCCAAAAAAGCGAGCAACTACAACAAGTTCAGCTTCTTCTAGTTTCTAGAGCTGCTGATATTGATGATATATATAAAGAAAGAGATGTCTTCAAGTTCGATTCATTTTATCAAACAATGGATATGACGCTAACGGCCATTGGCAATGTTGCAAAAAGTAAAGATTATTATAATACATTTGTCTTGCTCAGCAGAACTCAAGATGGCCCTGTTTTTGCATTTTCCATGTAGTTTACTTTTGTTCACCATACCCATGACCACGTGAAAGAGGTTTCATTTGAAGCTTCACAAACTGAAGCACATCAGGCATCCTGGCTTCACTAGAGATGTAGTCACATGCTAGAGTCAGTTAGCCTAGATGAAATTTTGCACTTCGTGTGTAACCTTCCAGAGAGACCTTGTTGGCCTACACTACTACTACTACTTGTTGAGTAGGGTTGGGTTTTTTTTAATGGAAACCACTGAAAAACTGTGCAGAAACTGATTAGTGGCGATTTTGTGGGACTTTCCAGCGATATTCCATCTTGATATATTGTTATTGTAAGCTGATGTGGCTGGCAGATATCTTCATGAAAAGATTTGCAGAGCAATTGAAGGACAGGCGAAGAAAAAAATAGCAAAGTAACTTTTTCTTTCAGAGGTAAGGGATTGTGTTCAGTTACATGCTTAGTATTATAATATATATATATATTTATTCTCTCTCTCTTTATATATATATATATATATATATATATATATATATATATATATATATATATATATATATATATATATATATATATATATATATATATATATATATGTCTGTGTGTGTGTGTGTGTCAAATTTATTTTCTATCATATTTGTTGAAACATGTAGAATGAGAACGATGTTGCAAGTGAAGAACAAAAGTTATCCCACTAGTGTGCCACAGACTTTTTTTGTGGTAAAATGCAAACGTAATTCATTTTTATTTTGACGAATTGATACTCTGTCACTGGTGAGATCTTGTTTTGTTATAAGAGCCGATAAACTCTCACAAAAAAGTTGCAACAACAAAAATGCATTGCATTTAAGTAAGGTTCATTGTAGGCCAGTCTAGTGAGTACAGTGCGATAATGCTCCATCATCTGCACCAATGCACTAGTCTATCGCCGTTTTTCGCATTGACCCTCCGGGAACCTGTTAGGCCTCCAATGCCAAGGCCAGTCGTGCGGGCTGTACGGCCTGGAACTGAGAAGGCCTAGGTCTAGATCAAACGTTTTTCGCTGATATGCTCCCACTCCCTCCCCGTCCATTCCACCTCCCCATCCCTGTCTTGTAGATTTCAGGCAGTATGGATAGATTTACAGTGATGTAGTGAAGTGTGTCGTACGCGAACACAATACATTTATTGCACAATGTAGAAGAGTACAATAAGAATACAACATAGCTTTGCAATTCAGAATCCAATTTCGCAGCCTAAGTGAATACGACTAAATTTGATACACTGATGATGAAAATACTATCATTTTTAGGCCATGGTCAATCATAGTCAATGTAAGAAAACTTGGAACTAATTTTTAAGTCGCCTGGAGAAATTATAAAGGAACCTCGTCATCTAGGCCACTGGCAAAATATCTAATAATGAACAGACTGGCAAATGCCCATGGGGTTTTTATTTAGTGAGATGCTCAAGTCTAAGTGACAGAACGAAGGGAGATAACTCATTACTTCATATAGTGAGTGATAAACAAGTTCCCTTGATGTTGGGTAATCGCTGCTACATTTATTTAACAGGGGACATGAAAACTTTGTTGTACCACCAGCCACCCTGTACTGTCAACTTCATACTCGCTCCAAGGTAGGCGGTATTACTAGGTTTTACAGTACTTACCAAAAACTCACAACAATCATGCTCCCGTACATACCTCTCGTAATTGTTCCTGTAGGCCTTTGTTCTCCGTCACTATGGCAACCTGGCACTCCAGGTCCCGATATACAGATCTATAACCTGCAGAGACAAAGACTATCTTTGCACCATAATGGTATTGGGAATGACAAAGCAGAATACTTTATAATACAATTAAACAATTAGTTGCTCAAGAAAAATAAAACCTGATTGTTTTTTTCCTCAGTGATTCCTTCAAAGAAACTGTTCAACTTTTACTTATCCTCGACATTCAACAATAGACTCTTCCTCATAACATTGAAAACTTCTCATATTTATACATTAATAAAGAACAATTGTGTGTGTGTCTACAGAAAGGTACCAAAAGTCAGATTTTGACCTTTTTGAGTTAAAAAGACTGTACCTTATAGAAAGTTCAATGCTGAACACAGGGGTCTTTGAATTTTTTAGATACCTCAAGTAGTTTTTTTTAGATATTGCACATTCTGCGAGGTAGGGTATAAAGATAGAATTTTGAGAAAATAAGCTTTTAAGTTTAAGAAACGTGAGAACACATACAAACTTTAAAAAAAAAGAATTTTTAAAATGAATTTATACATGGACAATTTATGTCCAATTTGGCAGTCATTTGACATCAATATCAAGAATGGATTTCAATGGTAAAACATAGAAACATAGCGGGGAAGAGAAAATGTGCTTCAAGAATAGATTTTAACACCTTTTAAAAGCAGTTTCCATTATTTGTATTTATTATACTCTACCTTCAAAATGATTCAAAATAAAATATTAAGAAGTCAAATCAGTGAAAACACTTTGAGCACATTGTAAAAAAATGGTGGATCATCAATTTTTTATGGAAACGCATTTTGGTCAAAAAAGTGATTTTTGTCATTATCAGCCTATAGCTCGAAACGGTCTGGGGCGACTTTTGGCACCTTTCTCTAGGCCCACACACAATTTAGAAAGTCTCGAGGCAGTGTCTGTGGTGCAATGATCAAGCCTTTTTTTACCATTGCAGACGAAACATGATTTAAATTCTCAAGTAAGTGGGGAAGTCTATGTTATTGCATCGCTTCATCTTTCTATTGAGATGCTGTGTTTCACTCAGCCTGGGTATTCCCTAACATGCACGATTGAAGCAGTCTGCCTCCTAATTGACCAACATTGCATTGATTGGGAAATAAAACATTGACAATCAAATTGAATCTAACCTATAATGACATGGCACTGGGCAAAATGGAAGAAGCCAAGCAACTGCTAGACTAACAACAAAACCATTTTAAGATATCCCTTTACTTTCTAAAAAAAGCTGAAAACTACCATAAATGTAGGTAGCGTAAACACAATGCGTAATCTGCCTCGCTGCCTTCTGAATGCATGGTTTCAGTGAAATTGCGGTAATTCAGATAGCTGTTTCTTTGCTCTGTCGCTATAAAACACCAAATACTGTACACCATGAAAAAGTTCAGCTTTTCCTCGTTACCATGGTGTAAGTTGTTTGTATGTTCATGAACTTCGAGCTGGAGAATTGCTGTTGAAAGCGAAGCCCCTCGCTGTTGGAATGCGAGGTAGTCTAGTTAAAAAATTGACACCTATGCAAGCGGAAAGGTAGATGATTAAAAACGGTCTTTTTATTGGTGGAGAACTATAGAGCTTGGTACGTTTTTAGCCTTTGGGGTTTCAATAGAAAGCTTTTAAAATTAGCGTCAAAGTTTTCAAATATTTTTTTACACAAAATATAGAAAATACAGACTCAAAAATGGTACCAATAGAAAGATCATTTAATTTTGTTAGATTAAAGTCATCTGCTTGGGATTATTTTGCATCAATCCTTCCGCAAAGCTCAGAAATTATATGATCTCAAACACAGGAAGCACTCAATACTGCAGTATAGAGCCGTATCACGTTTGCCGCAGGGGCCGAAGCGACGCCTGCCGGGACAGCACTCCATCTTTTTGTCAAAATAACAACAAATTATCATGTTTGAAGGAAAAAAACCCACTGATTTGCAATGATCTCACATTCTTGAAAAATATTCGGCTCCATATCCATGTTACAGTGATAGTGCTCTATTAATGTGTAGGTGTTTGGTGCACTTTGTACTGTGTTATTACTTGCCAAACAAGGGTTTGCAGCCACTTAAAGAATTAAGCAATATTCGGTTGATTTAAAACAGCTTCCATTTACTTAAAATGAATGCTACTAAAATTCTCACCAGACATAAGCCTTTCATATATTTTTAAAAAACAGATAAATTTGCAATACCGCTACTTCGAAAATTCAGAAATTTGGGGGGGTTTTTCATTTATTACGTACCAGAAACTAAATTTTCGAAGTAGCTGATTGCAATTTAGTTTCTGGTACCTAATAAATGCAAAAGAAAAAATTCCCAGAAAATAAATAGAAGCCTTGAGAAGCTGAGCGAACTGAGGACAAATACTGAAATTTTTAAACTTCTATTCAGGCCTGCCACTCTATGAAATCTAAAAATCAGGATCTCAGGGGGGGGAAAAAACTTGGGATTTGGTGAAAAAAATCGGGATCATCGACAAATCACCAAGGTGATTGCCAAGCTGACTAAAAAATTGTCCAAGGGTTTTCATAAATATATCCATGTATACACATGTATATGCCCTGAGTGCGTGTGTGTGTGTGTGTGTGTGTGTGTGTGTGTGTGTGTGTGTGTGTGTGTGTCTGTGTGTGTGTCTGTGTGTGTGTGTGTGTTTATCATTTTTTTTTTTTTTATCCTGAAGTATCACTTCAAGCACTCCTAGTCCAAGTGTCTAACACTCCCCCCTTCCCCACGTAAGTACCAAAAGACACTTCGACCAGTGTGCATTAACTTAAGCTGACCCCATCAACAGAAGGTTCCTGATACACATGAAACATATATGCCAAAGTCATGTCACGTGCTGCGAACACTCGATTGAAACTGTTTTACTGACGGGTCTAGATGAAGGGCCCAACAAACTAGAACTCAGACAAAGCTTGTTTTGAAAGTAACAATATAAAGCTATAAATAATATTATTTATTAAAATTAACTGTTATAGAGTGTTAGTAAGTGCTGATTTATTTTTTTTTTATTTTTTTTTTTTTAACTGCTGTCCTTTCGTTCATATACATGTAGTTAATGTATGGTTGTTAAAGTTGTTCTTTATGTGGTAGAACTGGTTTTTCTTGTTTCTGTGAAATATTTTCACTAGTGTGAATGATTATGTGATTGGTGTAAAGTGCTCAGAGCTTATACGAGTATGGGATAGAGCGCTATATAAATGCAATCTATTATTATATTATTATTAATAATTTGTATGTCGCAACTGCAACAGTTATCTCGCCACCATTGGAAAATCCTGAGTGGAAACAAAAGTGAAAGTAGATCTTGAGAATGTCCCAAGTTGGAAATTTAAATCAATATTGCTTCCATTATAGTTGAAATAACATGAGTGAGCAAACATCCAACACAACTTGTGGCAAGTCTACTACTAAATCCAGCATCCATATTTCGGAAACTAATGCTCCAAGTTCTTCCAAACAAAAAGCTTAACGGGTACTTCCCAAGACAGAGAAGAAGGTAGGTAAAGTTTTTAGAAAAATCAGGTACTACAGACAGAATGAAAAATTGGGATACATGCGATCGAAATCGAGATGTTTGAGATTTGGGGCAAAAAAATTGGGATTCCCGATTTAATTGGGATGAGTGGCATGTCTGCTTCTATTAAATTATTGTACAAGTCTTCACATAGCACTTCAGGATGAAATAAAAGCAAACAATGCCAATGGCAAAGTTGCTTCTTTTCATAAAAAGCCTTACCAAAGTTGGGAGACCCAACTAACGTAAGTGAGGGCAAGGCATGGCCAGGCAGATAGTACCAGAGACCCTTTCCATGGAAGGTCCAGCTGTCGCGAGAATACTCCATCATGTGAATACGAGGCAGCTGCTGGCGCGACTGAACCTTCCGCAAGAACTGGTGAGCCAGGTAGATGTACGAGTATGGGATGGCACCGGCGATGCCTTTAGCACCCAGGAAACCATTGGCCTGTGGGTGCAGACAGAACAAATGAGTAAAAATGCACAAGGTCCACTGTGTTGCTAATCACACCAACTCAATTCAAATTACAGCTCTCCAGAGAAAATCAAAGTAAAATGTAAGAAAATAAGTAGGCTACTAAACAACAAAAATGTTATTTGTGATGAGAAATAGATCCCCCAAGAAACCACATTTTTAAAAATGACAAATATGCTGGCAAAAGAAGCAACAAAACTAAGGAGCAACAAAACTAATCTACAATTTCCTATTCTTTTTATTAAAATGTTTCTTTATCACGTCAAATAAAGAGAAATTTGAGACACAGGTGGCTGATGAGCATATTCGACTGTAATATTAATACAGATTCTATGCACACACTCACCTGAGGAGAGGCCATGAGAATACTGAACTTTGCTTGGGACTGGTCAAGAATGACTGCCATGTAGTGGTCAGTGAGGTTGAAGTATCCTGAGGCTAGCAAGATGTTGTCCTGAGGCTGAGAGGAGCGCAGAAGGCCGAGCATTGCCTGCTCATCATACGATACGCCCAAAGGACCCATCTGTACCAGTGGATACACTGCTGTATCTGGCGGCAAAGTCCCACTACTCTGTCCATCCGCCACATTCTCTTCCCTCACCTTCTGTCTGTCTCTCTTTCGGATATCAGTCACAGACTCCCCAAGTCTTAGACAACTTTGAATTTTCTTCCTGGCTGCAAGTTTGAACCTCAACCCATTGTCTGAGTCTGTAAATGACAACAAAATAAGTTGAAACAAAACAAACCCAGTCATTTACACATCAAAATTCAATAACATTAAAAGCAAACATAATTTTACATCATTATCAAGATTTCACCTACTTCTACTTTGAATTTCATTCTTTTAACTTAGTCTTTAGGGAATGCCAAGTGTTGGTAAATACAAAGTAGCTAAAGCCTGTAATACAGCAAACCTAGTAACGAGCAAGAAGGCAGTAGAATAGCTGGCTGGTGGTATTATGCCCTCTGTTAAATAGCAGCGACTGCGTAACACCAAAGGAAATGATTCTGCCATGACTACATGAAGGACAATAATATTATGAGTTACAGTAGTCTCCGCCTAAGATCCCACTGCTTTGGATCCCGGTTCACTTAAGATCCTGCTGTTTTAAGAAAACAGAATTTTTACTAAACAAAAGTCACCCCTAAGATCGCGCTCTAATTCACTTTGCAGGTCTACATTCGGCTAAGGTCCCGCATTTCAGATCATAACTTGCAGAACAAAAACACGGGCGAGCACATCCTATCAACCAAGAGTGAAAAGTTGAGATCAATGAAACAGTCTGTCACGTCAAAGATCAGCCACTATCGTGAATGTGATCACATACACGTTAACGTAAAACGCGATGAAGCGATACAATCTTTGCCCCAGACGGGATCACACTGGGGTGTGAACTGACCGACACATTTGTTTTCCCCACACATCGCACTCACACATGAGCTCTCCACCTAAACTTACATCACTCGCTGGGTGGGTAGGGCCTACACGTTTTTGCTCCAGGCGGGATCACATCGAACTGTGAACTCTTCCCTGACCATTGCAGCAGTTGTCTCTACTCTCGAATTTGCGAGACAGACTGAATTTTAATAGGTGTGTTACGACAACGGCGGGGAGGGGGAGGGGTGGGGACTCGGTCAGAGATGGAAAGCTATACATTTTCGACAGGTAAAAGGGAGGTGAAACTGGATAAGCGTAGATCTTGAGACTCAAGATAGGATAGTAAGTGAAAATAGCACGCCTCATGCCACTATGCACTGTGATAGGTCATCAAAGTTAACCACTCTTTGCTCGCCATATGCCATGAACCCACCCAGGGGTCACGTCATTTCATTTTAGAGTGGAGGGAGACCATTTTACTGATTGTGAGCCTTAACATGGGTCACCATAGATTCTTCCCTGGGTTTGTCGGTTAAGATCCCGGTCTGCCTATGATCCCGCTCTTGCGTGTGTTTATATATGTGGGGAGAGGAAGGGGGTGTATGGGTGTGCATATAACAAGATGAACAGTGTGTATGAAATGAGGCCAGGTTTTTTTTTTTAAGCATTTATGGACTATCGTTCAGGCACCTATCATTCAGTACCGAATCAGGAAATGAGTGCAGGGTGATAGCCGAAATGACTTCAAAACCTCTAGCCCATACCAATAGAAACTACATTAAAACATATTTCCCAACACTAGCACAGGATAAGTCCTTTGAGACTTAGGTATGACAGACAATTAATTTTAACTAGTTTTACCCTAAAAATACAAAATGAATCCTGATCTGGGCCTGAAGATGGGCAAGAAGAACATCAACTGCCAAAACCATGTTTGGTATCAGCAATCACAGATTTTAAAAAGCATGCAAGACAAAACTTATTTATAAAACCTTTATAGTTAGGCTTACGGCAGAGTAAAAAGTGAAAATAAAAGAGAGCGTGTACTGAGAGCCAGAGCTGGAAGGACTGTGAGAGCGTGGGATGTAGTGATGCTGAAAAACCTGGCAATCACTAATCAGTGAATCACTGCATCAGGGACGTATTGATTTTTTTTTTCAAAATGCTAAATCACAGTACAGTAGTCTCCGCCTAAACGAACGGTGCTCGGGAGGGCTCCTTAGCCTGTATTTACATGGAGCGTGCGTTTACATGAACCCTTGCAAAGGGAGGAAGGTACGCAGTCATCTCAATTCCTTATTACTCTAGTGACTTCCCTTGGAGGGAGGGGGTCATTTTGGCAGATAATGTGACAACACGTGACTGTTTTGTGAAGGATTCCCAAACAAGGAGGAAGGTACGCAGTCATCTCAATTCCTTATTACTCTAGTGACTTCCCTTGGAGGGAGGGGGTCATTTTGGCAGATAATGTGACAACACGTGACTGTTTTGTGAAGGATTCCCCAACTGGGGTTAAGAATACAAAGGCGTTGAATGGGGGAGGGGGTAGAGAAAGACAGACTCAATGTAATAAATTATATTATTATGCATTATAAACGTCGGGAACAGATAGCGTAAGAGGAAACTGTTGGCGATACTCATACAGACGACGGACCAGCCACGTGGCTTTCCAAGCCACCACCCCCAACCGTAAATTCATGCAGATTCATTCTCTACATTCAGAGAAACGTTTCTCTTGTGATTCGTTGAACAAGTATGTCATAAGTTCTTCGAGCGCAGCTGATTAGGCTTACTTGTCTAATCTTTCATCCTGTCTAGATCTAGTGTTTTACGGCATTTACGTGTATCGCGCATCAGGCCTAGATCTAACTAAACATTACAAGCAGTCACTCAAACGCCATTCAGAAACCTTCTCTCAAAGATCCATTTCCAGTGACCAATCAAAAAAGATTTCAGTGCCCCCAATTCCCCCCCCCCCCCCCTAACATTTCACCAACCAGACCTACACCTATGTGTCTCTGGAAAGTTGGGTGTGAAAACGCTGTCCATCACTCTCTTTGTCCGGCGTGAGGGGCAGTCTCACCAAATATCCAGTTTTCTAGGCTTGTCTTATGCAAGCTGTGCAGGTTGTAGTGAAAATTTCCCCCTTGTCAAGCTTTACTTGTCAGCGTGTTCCGCGGATCAAAGCGTGCATTTAGAGGGAGTGACCGTGCGTTTGTATGTCTAAATTATATAATAAAAGACCCGTCAGATGACGAAAACGTGCGTTTGAGCGGAGCATGCTTTTGTATGGCGTGCATGTAGGCGGAGACTACTGTAATAGTTTTTAACTGATTCCGTCCATTCGGCCGCTGACAGCGGCTCTGAGATTTTCAGCTGCTTCCATTGGACCGCTGTAAGCGGCTCAACGAAATCCGAAGCAAATGTGCACTTTTTAATGTAGTTCCAACTTTTTAAGTTGTCGAAAGGAAGTAGAACTTGTAAACAAACCTGACCTCAATCTCTGAGCACCAATATCAATCAAAACTCTGTTAAATTCTTGCAAAAGTCATTGTTTTGTTGTCACGATGTAGGCTAGATCTAAGGGTAAACAACACGGAGCCTGGTATAATAAAAAGGCCCTTCAAAGAAAGATATTCAACTAAATTTGTGAAATTCATGCATAAATGTGTGCTAGGGTGATATCGCTACAATGTTGTGTTGATTCCTATGGATTATAAGGACTTGTAGAGCTGAGAAAATGCGGTAAGTCGAAATTTTAGAAGAGCAGCAGCGCAATTTTTTTTCTCATTCGTTTTTGTCTGAAGTAAAATGCAATACAAACAGATTATAGGTCATTGTTATTGATATAAACAGATTCTTCTATTTATTCCCATCAGTTTGGTATATGACAATACCTATTAGAGTAACTTAGAGCTTCACAGTAATGCATTAAATAGATGCACCCCAGGTCTAAAACTGAACGGGGAAAAATAATTCTGTCCAGAGCCTGAAAAAATCATGGACGGAATCAGTTAATCAGCAAAAAGCCATCATGATGCATAGGCATCCAACTTAGAGCTTTCCGAGGGTTGAAAATGGCATTTCCTCATTGCCACTTTTCAATTTGTCATCACTGACAAATCAAACAAATCCGGAAACACCAACCTTGAAGACACAATCATCAAGCCTGTGCTCTAATGTTCCCTCATTTACGCACTCGACTGTCGAATGTCAAAACCACTTCCACTTATCATTTTTATTTAAGCATCAGTTTCTTGCACCGCGTCCTTACCCCACTACCGTAGACTTTATTGCGTCAACCACCCCCCTCAATTCTGAAGCCATGCAACGCTCCTACTTTGAATGAACTTTGATTAGGCCTACCCCAACAACTGCCGGCCGTCCCTTACTCATGCCATTGTCACACATGTTCACTGACCGGTCACGAAGACAGGCCCTACAATTGAGAAATCGGAGGACGCTTGTTTTCTTTTTCTTCCTTTTTTTGTAATCATAGTGACATCAGTGAGAATATTGACTTAATTTGTATGGTGACACTGTGTTTTTTATGCACAAACTGCATGTTACAAATTTTTATTAACTGTAAATCTAACGTTAACAAACTGTCATCAGACAATTCTGAGTGGTAACGAAAGCTTCCCGATGGAATCTCAGTATTACACCTAAACTTCCGCCTGTCGCCATAGCCGCTTATTCGCGTGAAGCATACTCTCGGACTGGGGAAAGCCGAACATAATTTCACAAACACGAACAGTAAAATATGAACTCTAAGTAGTCTTTTCAGATTTGGTTTCGAGGACTTTGTGCATTTTCTCAGGTCTCCTCAGCAATTTTATTATTTCAGATTCCTGCAGCCCCCCTACATAGAATCCTCATTTGGTACTGACCAATTCTCTAGACCAAGACAGATTTTAGAATGTTTTGATTGGATATCGATTGTCTTTCTACATTCACAATTGCTTTCTAGATAAATGAATTAAATGCACAGATTTTCCAGCCGCAGCAAAAACCCAAAGATAAACAGAAAGAAAGAATGAATGAAAGGAAGGAGGAAGATTATCTATCGTGAGTAGACAGATTTTAGCCGATATGCACGTGAAAAACTATTGCCGACCAAACAGCACAGATAGACAATGGTCGAGTGTACGAAATGCGCAATCTAGCAGTTTCTAATACAACTTATTGCCGAAAGTTGCCGTAAATATCTGACAAATCTCTCCCTCTCTCTCTCTCTCTAACGAATGGAGTTGATATGATGATGCGGCAAGTACGGAACTATCAGAATGTACCTATTTCCGCAAAAACAAAGAAGAATGGAAGCACTGCAGAATGTTTCTTTTTCTCTCGGCACCCATCGCAAATCCGGTAGTTTTGACACCTTATCGATATGGCGGTAGAACAGGCCCAAAATTGGTATCTACCGGAAAAATCGGTAGATTTAGGCAGCCCTGCACTGGCGTAAAAGTTTGAGTATCTAGGTGGAAATTGGCATAGGATATCTTTCAGCACACTCATATCTTTTAGACAGCCATCAAATACAAACAAACAGTGACCACTACAAGAAACAAAATATGTAGCAGCAATTATTTTGAAAAAAAAAATTCTTCATCCCAAAAGGTCCACCTAGATCACGTGGAGTACAGCCTTATCTCTGACAACAGACTTCTTCATTGTTTGTGCATCACAAAATGACGGTGTTAACTCACTCATCACTACAGTTACAACAGTGCAGCACAAGAGCCAGGAGTTGTAACAATAAATCTGGGGAATCACCAATAGTGTCACCAATTCTGCTGTAACTTTTGTATCGACACTTTTTCAAAAGGACAAAACTATAAGTTACATGAGAGAAAAAAAAACTGGGCTGTGCTACATACCTGTATTTACTTTATTTGTAGGGCCATCCACAAGTTTTTAGTATCGTTTCATATAGCGTCTACTGACATAATGCATCTCTTTGGTCTAGCTACATCAAAAGACGTAGCCCGCCACCAGTGAGATAGTAGAATGGCAACCTTTAACACTTTGCCGCCTCATCTCGCCGATTGACGATGTTTACCACCCAGTTTCTTAAGATTTTCTCTAAAATATGATGGCAAAGTGTTAAAGAGGTTGTGGAAAGGAGCTGTCTAAATCAAATATTGCCATAAGTCAAATGACAGCAGGCTTACTGAGTGTGTTCTTGTGTGCGTTGAAACAGGAGATAAAACAGCGAGGGTATTTGTATTTTGTAAATAGACATCCTTCATGGTACCAAGTCAGATCTCATCCCTCTCCACACACTCACCTTGGTAGGGATGTATGTCCCAGTCAGGTGCCAAACTCAGGGAGTCGTCTGCAGATAAACTCAATGAAAACGACATGATGGCCTTAACCAGATCATTGAAGAAGTTGGCAAGTTCAGGGCAGTCGTTGAACAGGATGTACCGATCTTGGCGGTTCATAAAATAGTCATTGCTGAGATTGGCTCTGCAGATACAAACAGAAAACATTTTCAACTCATGACGGAAACAGCTATTTGAGAGAGAAAGACATTTTTTAAAAGACAAAAATTAAAAGCCGCATTCAAAAAAGCTTTAAGCTTATAACTGTTACGTTACAACCTGTTTTTCTTATTACAACAGCCTCCTTAATTGGTAAAAACACCTTTCAAAGTATTATTAGAATGAGTTAAAAAATTATACTTTCCAAGGCCAACAGTTGATGAGTAGTTAATTGCAAATAGACCAGAGCCAGATCAGGCCCCTGAAGTCAGCTTGTCTAGCCCTCAGCAATGTTAGTATTTGGGGATGAAAAAAACTTTGAAGATGTGTTTGAAGCATGGTCAAGACTTGATCACCAAAATATTAAAATCATTTCATTGAACTATATAGTACAAATTAAACGTGCTTTTACAGGCTTCACAACATCTATCTGATGTATCACAGTCCTGCTCAGCTTTGATATGACAAATTTTTCATTGAATATATTTCCTACCTCAAATAGAGATCCCCAAATCACCAACACACTGTTTGTTGTCTTTATTTTTCTGTGTATTGTATATTTTGCATCTTATGTTTCGGTACATCAATAGGCTGCTTGTCTTTATTTTTTTTAAATGTATGCAGTGTATTGTATTGAACAAGACAGTTTGAGTTCTCCAGCTCATACTCAGCATTTTTTCACTTAAACTACAACCCACTTTTGAAAATGTTTGGTGACCCCTGAAATAGACAAACAGAAAGCTCATCAAAAGGAAGCACAACACATGATGAAGTAATTTCAAGCTCACCCACTAATGATAAAACTGTCATCAAACAAGTACAGCTTCACATGGGTCAGGCCAATTGTCTCATTGAAGCGATCAGGAACAAGTCTCTTGAGAATTCCCCTTAAGTCTGGTGTGTGGAACAAAGCGACTTGCACAGATTTGTAATCTGCCATCAGGGGGCGCAGCATGCTTCGAGAATTGAACTTTCCTCGGGAGCCCCTTGTGTAGTCTAACAAGACATTCACCTCAAAATCAGAGTTCCCTGACGTAACTGCTTCCTCACAAGCTTCACGCACACAAGCAACCTGAAATAGAAATAAAAAATGTTATGTCCTGATTAAAAACGGAGTCCACTTTAACGAAATCTGCGGGACCCGTGGGTGGGATGTTAGTTTAGAGAGGTTGCTCATACAGAAGAAAAAAAAAGTCTGGGATTTTATTTTCTGTCGGTTTACTGTTGTTTTCGGATTAACTGTGTTTGGTTTTTTGCAGACTCCACTGGAACTATAAAAGTGCTTTACCACTTTACCCATAATTCTTAAGTATTTCTAAACTCTTTTCCTACCGTGCCTGTTCCACATCTAAACAGAAATATGTGGGGAATTGGAAATATTTTAATTTTAAACATATCCAATCCAGTGTTTGAAGGTTTCCTTCATCCTTGTTCAAAGTATTTATGTTCTAGAAACTCATTAGATCTATCATTCTAGTCTTTGTTAGATCTACTTTCATCATCTGAAAAAGCGTCATATTTTATTGTATCAATGGTTTCCTCTCAAGTAGATCTTGCTTTTCCTTTTGAGATTAAATAATGTTCAAATAAGTCAAAAGCTAGCGATCAGAGATAGTCACAAGCATTTGGCAGATCAAATGGCGATTAGTATAAACAAAAACTTTGTGTCTTTTTTTTCAAATTCCCTCACAATTTCAAAGCAACCCAAAAGAACACTAAGGTTTGTTTAAACTCAAGATAATAAAGATACAATATTTACCTACCTATGATTTTTAAAAGTTTTGAATTGATAAAAGTGTAATATTAGCATATGCCCTTCAAACAAGAGCAAAACACAATTTCAAGCACTGTGTGGTGTGATGCCCAATGAATCAGATTCTTGTAAAACACAACTGCTTTTTAAAGACAATTCTGCAGATAAACGGAAAATCAGTCTGACATGTGCTCTAAATACACTTTGACTTCACCTCAACTCTACGATTAGTAATTGCACCCTAAAAAATAATGAGACCAATCAAATAAATAAAACCCTTTACAGATTGAAGTCAAAATAGCAAGGCTAAAGTAGCTACTTCAGAGTGTTAAGTTCAGTCAGTGAACTCACCAAGTCACTCTCAAGATTGCCGTTACCAAGATACAAAGATGCAAGGGTGACCCTTCTTTTGGCTTTTCTGGTCTTGAGCTGAAATTACATAGAAAATCAGTTAACATAATGCGGAAATCAAAGAGCTTAACAATGACAAAATTTTCAGCAAATGTTCTTTCTCACAACAACAAAAATTCTCAACTTCAGTAATAATAATAATAATAATAATAATAATAATAATAATAAAAATTGCATTTGTGTTCTGCATATATCCATGCTCTACAGCATGCTTCATGTGTGTAACAACTATTATTTTCTTTCAAATTCCTTATCAAGAAACGAATATTTAATAGACAATATGCTGATGTACCTGAAACATTATGCTCAGATACCCGAGAATCTACCTTAAGCACTTGGTAGAACTGGTCAGGCTCAGTGATCACTTGAACTTGTTCCCCTCTAATCAGGAACTCTGGGCCAAACTGTGACATCCATTTGAAAGAACTCAAGCCACTCTCAGACTCCAAGGCATGAACATTATCTCCCTTGTGTGTCCTAATGGCCTGATCCACATTTTTTACAGGAGGCTTTGTACTCAGTCTCCTTCATGAAAAGGTAAAGAGAAAAGAAGATAAACAAATTTTTAATCAACAAGACAAACTGCTACAGTATAAGCTTGACATACCAAGGAAAACTATTATGTGTGCCAATAACAAAAAAGTCCACCGCAACACACTGTTTAATTTCCATAGTGCTAAGAGCAGCCACAGATGAAAATTCAGCGATTTTTCAAAAAGGACATGGTCACCAGTTTCCGTGTCTGAGGAGGATTCTTAGAAAGAAAATATTTTACTAAAATCGGATAATAATGAACGACAATTGTGTTGTTAACTGATTATTTCGTCAATTTCTAACTTCCTACACAACTCTGACGAAAACAAAAACCAAGATTAGAAAATATGAAAGCTTTGAGCCAGGAAGCTCAGGCAAAGGACTTTGTTCAAACAATTCTTTTCAAAGTCAAGGTCTAAACCTGAGACTACGACTAAGACCAAGGAAGAAGCTCCAGACTTCTGTGGATTTTCTGACAATCTTCCAGGTCTGCAAACTTTATTCTCATTTGCAGTATTCAGGTTGCAATTAGGTTTAGTAAGGACAAAGGGTTATGGAAGGGAAAGGGCAGTAGTTAGGGAAGGGTTAGCGTAACCCTTACATTAATACCTAAATCCAGGGGGGGACAGTGGTGTCCAAGAGAAACTTGAACATGTAATCACTCAGTAACCATTTTAAAGCCTTGCACAACCCCCTCATGCAGCATACCAATTTAAGCTAAATAAATTCTGCATCATCTGAAACATTAATATTTCATCTATGTTAAGAGATGCCCGAGATATGGTCACTCAAAATTGACCTTAAAAAATCAGGCTTGGCAAAATTATGCAAAATCAAAGAAGCTTAAACATTTTTTCGTGCGTATATTGAGGACATCAATAGCGATAATTTCGTCTCTGCAGTGAACAATATTTTATTAGGACAGTTTCAAAGAAAATGGAAAACAGAGCAATAACAAATACCACGCCAAAATTGGACTTAACATTAAATGTGCTCATCGTTATTTTCTTTAGCAGCCATAGGTTTTGGATAGAGCACGAACCCTTTGGGCATCAGCTGTATTAAATTTTGCACATAATTATCTATCATTTCATCCCCAATGTTGCACAGATTGCAAACAAAGGGTCAGAATTGGAAGCAAAGTCGCTTTTTTTTCAGCTGCTGTTTCATGGGCCTTCATTTAACTATTACTGTAGGATTCACATCTGGGCTGTTTATCTACTGGTGACTAATCCAACATTGATACAATTTGGTTTTCCACTAATTTTCTACTGGCATTGGCCCTGTGAGAAAGTGCCTTGCTGTGCGTGGAGATGTCTACTAAAATGACACCATGAAAAACATGAGAATGAGACGTGACGTTCCATCACTTGCGTAATGTAGTCTATTAAAACAAGCTATTCAGCTATTTTCATGAGAGCGTTTTTGTCCATTCCACCCCAGACCACCAAAACCCATGGCAGTTTCGTGGCCTCAGTTCCTCACTTTACTTTTACTTTTTTATCCGCCACTTATACCCTTTTGGGTGTTGCGGGAATAAAGTAATGTCTCTCTGTCACCAGCCGGAGAGCTTGGGCCAGGGGGATACCGTGGGTGGCCAATGTTTCCCTGGCTCCATCTATCCAGGTCTTTCTCGGTCGCCCTCTAGCCTAGTTGCCATCAAACCGAACCATTTGATTCTTTGGTGTTGGATGTGATGCATGACATCATTTGTGCTCACCATTTCACTGATTACTGAGTTTCTAATTTTGTCTCGCCTGGTTTTGTTTACTGCTTTTCTAAGGCATCGCATTTCACATGTTGTAATTCTTTGCTCTAATGTCTTGTTCGTGGTCCATGTTTGGCATTGATAGGTGAGTGTTGGGATGAATATGGTGTTGATCATTTTGAGTTTCGTTGTCATGGGGATGTTAGGATGTTTCAGTAGTGGAGTGAGCTGGTAACTAACATAAGAAAAAATGCTGGAAACCCAAGATTTATACCCAGATTACTCAATTTGTTACATAACCATGCAGGTTAAAATTAAAAAATTAAGTATAGTATTCTATAATTGTCAAACAAAGCAAAAAACTTTCCTGAGCTCTTTGTAATATGAGAAAGTAATTAAAAATGTACTAGAGTACAGGTTTTTATGAAAATTCACAGAAAGATAGCCAAATTAGAGGCTAAACAATAATTTTTAATTATTGGGTTATCTCCCCTGAAAATTGGAAAATATCATTGGGAAGGTTATTTTGCCAAAAATACATCACATAAACACAGAAAACCAATGGGAAATGAATATTAAGTAACAGTGTGTGGTAAAAAAGAGAACACTGTGTACATTAACCCTTGGAAAGGTGCATTATTTTGCCTCAGAAGCAGAGTAATTTTGAGATTTTCGTGATATCAGGGGGTTATCAGAAATACTCGTAAATTCCTTATTTATACAAATAAAACCACTAACAACACATCTCTGAACTAGCAATTGAATACAGAAAAGAAACACAAAAGCAATAAAATCCTCATAAAGGCTTAATTAAAAATAAATTTGTCACGACGCGGACGGATCAGACCTTCGAATTTTGGGCATGTGGGGTTATTGGTACCATCTGAAAGCTTAATTATTTTTGTCTTGCTTTCGATGAAAACAATACCCATTAATCTCGAGGAGAAGTCAAGATATTTGCGACTGAAGGGGTATAAAAGGCGTTGAGCAAAAAACCAAAATTTTCATAAAAATTGTCAAAATGTAACAGAAAATTGCCCGCTCCTTCGATTTCACTATTTTGACAAGTGCCTGATTTCACCACGATGTCTAACATTATTTGTATGGCAGAAATGTGAGTTTGAAAGTGGGGGTCTTTCAGTTTTGTCACATTGTCAAGTCCTACTGTCATGTGATTAACCATGTTAAAATCATGGGTGATGTTGTCTGGTATGAATATATCATTGTGTGTGTCATGAGTCGGTTGTCGTCATTTTTGTAATGAGAGACTTGGATTGGGTGTCATCTGCCTCTTACTGAAGTGGGCAGACTTCACTACATAAAGGTAAATTGGTTTTTTCTATTCTTGGTAAAGTCCTCAACAAGAAGGACCTCATCTGCAAATGAAAGGAGTAGACAAATGATGTACAATGTACACTTCTTTTCTTGCATACCTAAATTGCAAAGGGGTTAAAAAAAAGTCTGTGAACATTGTTTCAGTATGCCTACTGTATGATCTCACCTGCAAAGGAGTAGAAATTAACATGTAAGTGAACTCTTCATTCTAGATCTAGTATCAAATGCTTTAAAATTGAAAAATATTTAGAAAAGAAATATATAATATATATTGTATGGCCTTCAAAAAAAAAAAGTAACTAATTTTGTAACCCCAAGTCCAAACTCAACCAAGACAGATTGTTGGGCCTACAGTAGCCTAGACCCTAAGTAAGCAAGACAGAAAGAATAGACTGAAACACATTCTTTCCGACGCCATGCGATGTCACGTCCTTCCGAATCCGTCACAAAACTTCATTGCATTTTTTACCATCAGCGCGATCGACTGTGAATGTCCATCTGAATCTAGAATGTTCGACTCAAATTGCGCGTTTGCGATGTTCTTTCGATCGGAATGATTTACTATTCCAATTATTTACTCCATTCTTGGTTTTTTTCATCTAGTCTTATATCAAAGTTGAATGAATAAACACGAAACAGTGTCAGAAGAAGACAGAAGTGATGACACTGAATGTAGGCTCCCCAACGCTGATCAGGGTGAACAACACAGACCTCCCTATAACAGACACATTTACCTACCTAGGCAGCATAATTAAAGCTGACGGCGGCACAAAGGAAGACATCATGAACAGACTAGGCAAGGCAAGATCTGTACACAGAAGCATGATCAACATCTGGAAGTCAGGACAATTTAGTATACAAACCAAGTTAAAGCTGTATAACAGCTGTGTACTATCCACACTCATATATGGAGCTGAATGCAGGAGGATGACTGATCATGACCGTGCCAATTATCTTCCTTTCATACAACCAGCTTACGCCAAATCCTCAGAATCTTCTGGCCCGACAAGATCTCCAACGCAGATCTGTTACATAAATGTAAGCAAGAGGACATGATCACCATAATAAAAAGGAGAAGATGGAGATGAATTGGACATGTTCTGCGAAGAGAACCAGACTCTACTGTGAAGACTGCCCTCCACTGGACACCCGAAGGACGTCGCAAAAGGGGCAGACCCAAAGTAACCTGGAGACGCACAGTAGAGTCTGAAATGAAGTCCTGGAATCATTCGTGGGGAACGCTGACCAGGATGGCCCAAAACAGACAGAGCTGGAGATCCTTTGTTGCTGCCCAAAACGCTAGATGGCGTAATGGGTAGTAAGTAAGTATCAGAAACTCCGATTTGATAAGAAAATGCGACATATTTACGCAAAACTAACATTCTTGTCGATCGTCATTAGGTCGATTGCCATCGGATGGACAACATTCTAAACCCGATTGAGGACGAACCGTTCACACAAGAAGTCCAGACCAGCAGCGAATATAAAATATCCGTCCCCATGATTACAGGAACAAGGAAAGAATGAGTTTTCCGTCACGTGGTATTGATAACGCTTTCTTTGTTCGCGGTCGATCGTCACTGACTGTCGGACGGACACGGGTCTCGTGAGATATATCGGCCCAAAATTTCTTAACCTAAGACTAAAAAACGAATTTTTTTCGACTTACACGCTCAGAATAAGTGTTAGTTTCACATGGGGGCAAGTTTTCCACAGAATTCATGTAGAAAGGTAGGCTTAGATGGCATTTTGAGAGCACCCTAATTCAGATGGACAGGTGTGATAAAAATACTGCCCTATTATCGATCCCAAGCCTAGGTCTAAGGACATGTTGTAGGCTTGAGATTTGCTGTTGTAACAACTTTTCAAGGCTATTTTCTAAATTCTACATGATATTTTTGTGGAAATATGAGTATTTGGCCTTATCCAGAGAGGCAATCTGACTAGACCTAGAAAATGGGAAATGGTGTCCTTCTGAAAAGTGACGATAGACATCCTAAGATCAGTCATAAAAAATGAACTATGAAAAATTTTTTTAAAATTTTAATGGTTTTCTAGTTTCTTTGAAGCAAACACAGTTTGAAAATTTTTTTATTTCAACAAAACATAAACTTATAGATCTAGGCATTGAAACATCTCACCACCTCGGTGCGCATAAAATTGTGAAACCTGTCTTTTTTTTTTTTTTTTTAAATATGCCTTTTATCATGTTGACCTGTAAATGGTCATTTTTCAGTAGCAGGTATACATCTCGGGTATCTCAGCTGATCCTCCCCCCCCCCCCCGCCAAACCCCCATGTTTACAACTGATTGGCCGTGGCGGCGGGGTACTTTTGGCAGGTTACTTTCGGTGAAACGCTGAGCGCTTAGGCTAGGGTTAAGCTTGAACACAGCAGGGTGTCCAGCAATATTTCCTGAAAAATGTACTACCTGGAAAAAAAATTTACTACCCAGCAAATCAAGTCCCACACCAGCTCAAAAGAGGGAGTTCATATGCGCCATCAATAACATCATTATATTACTATTACATAATATACGGAACGAAAATAACGCCCAACAAAGTCCAGTTGACAAAATGGAAGATAGACTAATAGACAGACGATCGCAAGCTTGCTCGCCGCTAGATTTATTTTTAGTTCTAGTAAGTTTTCTAAGAGCAGCAAGGGATGGATGTGATAAACATACAAAAGAAGTAGAGGAAAATGACGATAGTAAGGAAGAGGAAAGAAAAGGCAGCAGTTCTCCCTATGTTGTTCCGGCACAGTATGAGCATGACATTGATAAATGAGCCCATAGATCTATTTACAATTCTGCAGTGCATAAGAACATGTTACTATCCCTCCTTTGGGAATGGCCTAAAGATGCTTAGTCAGTAGCACTGCCCTGGTGGTAGGGCGGGGGCAGATTTAGACCTAATGCGTGCACACAGGGTGACTGCCAAAGTGGCTTCTCAATTTTCCAGGGGCATGCTATATAGCTCAAACAAACACACGTAAAATATATCCCGTCTGTCAAGAACCAGTCTGGGTGTCATGACTCATATTATTATGAACGTGAAAGGCAAAAATTATAGCTCAAACTCAAAGTAGAGCAATAACTTGAAAGGCTCAAGTAGACTCATGCAGTGTGAGAGGTGTAAGAGCTGTGGGAGGGCAAGATGCAGTGGCATTGAAAATCTGCCAGTTTTGAACAGAAAACTACAATAATATTGTTATAATTTACAAACACCCACCCAATGAAACACGTACACTTTAGTTCAATGACACGGCTTACAAGGTATGAAAGATCCCGACTCCACACACGGCCTGAACTAACGCGTGCGCTTTGCAGAGAGCTCTAAATCGAATCAAAATTCGGAAATTTGCTTCCAAGTTTTTATCCTCTGATGTTGCCTTTAGCACCCCCCCCCCTCCCCGAGTGCATCTTTAAAATAAAAAAAATCAATACTCCCCTACCCCATTCCGTAGTCCTATACGTGTACTTCGCAATGCTCAGACGTTGAATGAACTTTAGCAACCCCAACAACAAACGCCGGTGCTCACGCGCACACAGGTTCATTGACCGGTCACGATGGCGAGACCAACAATCTAAAAATCGGACGACGCTTGTATTCC